TCATGCTTATTGGTACCCCCCATCAACTTCGTAAAGCCAGTCCTGTAACCCTGTCTGTAGATGGCTCTGTACTTGAGCTTCAATCAAAATTGAAAAACCTTGGGGTTATATTCGATTCTGGCTTAACATTCGACCCACATGTACAGCATACTGTCAAAACATCTTTTTTTCACCCTTAGAAATATCGCACGACTACGCCCTATGCTATCATTAACTGTGGCTGAAAAGCTGATCAACATATTTGTATTCTCTCAAATTGACTACTGCAATGCTCTACTCCCTGGGGTATCTAAATCTACTCTGAACAAGCTGCAGTATGTCCAAAATTCAGCAGCCAGAATCCTGACCAGGTCTAGTGCAAGTGTTCACATTACTCCTATCCTGGAGTCCTTGCACTGGCTTCCGGTCAAATTCCGCGTAGACTTTAAAATCCTCATGTTCATCTATAAAGTTGGCCTCTATGGCAAAGTGACAATAAAGAAGCCATTACTGAAAGAAAAACATGTAAAATCCCACATGGAGTTATGATCAAAGCAGTTAAGTAATACTGTGACAAAATGTTTTGTGGTGAGAAAATGCAAAGTATTATATCTAGCCCAACACAGCACCCAGTTAACACCATCTCTATTGTCGAGAATGCTGGAGTTAGAGTTGTGTTGTGGGGCTACTTCTAATCAAAAAGATTGGGTTCCTTGTAAATAATTGAGGGAAGAATGTACAGAGAAAAGTTTAACGTATCGAACAAAACAATGAAAATACATATCTTTTACATATGTACATATGTACATATCTACATATCAAAATGACTTACAGTTATAATGGCTATCAAAATACTGAAGCAATAAAATATTTTAATTATTGAGTTATTATATTAACATTTACCTTCTTTAATTCATCAAAGTGCTGTTCATATTCACTTTAAAAAATGTGCATGCAGTACATAATTTTTAATCCAAATAAATTGGGCATCATTGGAAAGGAGTTTATATCATTCGCAAGGTACAGTATATTGAGATACGTATATACTGTAGTTAAAATAAAGAATCCAAATCCACAGATGTTATGTTAAAACTGTACAAAGAATTAGCAGGAGATCATTATTGCATTATTGCTTCAGGAGTTCAGCATTATTGTCATTATTCTTGCTAGTTTCAGTGGAAAAATCTTTGCAGATAAACAGTTCCAAAAATTCAGATAAAATTGAGGAGACTTAATATTAAACAATTGTTCCATGACAGAAAATATCCTCCCTTACAAAATTACAAAACTATCATTATGCAAAACCTTGGTTTATGAAAATGTATATAAGCTAATTCTAAGCAAACTGTAGCAAGTTCCTGTTCCTTATTGACATTCTATTTCTGATTAAACTGGTGCCTCATGGATTGGGAGTAACATTTTGTTCTTTGTCTAGATAGAGCTTAGAGGTTTCAAAACTTAATATAATGAAAACAAGAGAGTCCTGTTAAAATATGGAAAAGTCCTGTCAGTGGAAAAAAGATGGGTGTATGATGAGTGAGA